GAGCCTCCCCTCGCGGCGATACCTCTACAGAAAGCGCGCCCAGCGGCGGCCTCCCCAGCGCACCCTTCGCCCACCATGACGACGCAAATACCCATGATCTCGGTGCCCATGAAGCAGACCAGCGAGATCGACTGGATAGCCCCGCTGAAGCAGTACATACGCGCCACGTATGGCGACGACCCAGAGCGCTACTCGGAGGAGTGTGGCACGCTGAATCGCTTGCGTCAGGATATGAGAGGCGCTGGCAAGGACAGTGCAGCAGGCCGGGATTTGCTCTACAGATACTACGGGCAGCTGGAACTGCTCGACCTGAGGTTTCCGGTGGATGAGAACCACATCAAAATAAGTTTCACATGGTACGTTGGCAAACGGGAAGGAGCACCTGAGAAGCAGACGGATTAGGCAAGAGTACGCCCAAGACTAACCAGCGTCAGGTTCGACGCCTTTACACACAAACCAACCTCTCAGTACTCCCTCGCATACGAAAAGGCCAGCATCATCTTCAACATCTCAGCCGTCCTATCTTGCCACGCCGCCCACCAGAACCGCCACGAAGATGTTGGGCTCAAAACCTCGTACCACTCGTTCCAGGCCTCCGCCGGCATGTTCACCTACATCAACGAGAACTTCCTGCACGCCCCCTCGACCGATCTCAGTCGCGAGACTGTCAAGACTTTGATCGCCATCATGCTGGCACAGGCGCAAGAAGTCTTTCTGGAGAAGCAGATTGCGGACGGCAAGAAGGTCGGCTTGCTGGCAAAACTTGCCAGTCAGGCCGCTTTTCTGTACACACAGGCAACGGAAGGGGCGCAGGAAAACGTTACGAACGCTGTGTTCGAAAAGGTCTGGCTATTGGTTTGCCAGGTGAGAATATCACAGCATTACTTGCTATCAAAACTAACGGTCGCGCAGATCAAATCGCACCACATGGCTTCGCTAGCCCAGTACTATCAAGCTCTGGCTGACGATGACGCCAACATTCACGGCGCAGCCATCTGCAGGCTACAAGTCGCCGAAGCGCATGCCAAAGACGCCAATCGAGCAGCCCACAGCTTCCCCAACAACGCGCCAGCCAACTCGAACCTAACTTCAGAGACTGGAGGCATACTCGCAGAGATGACGAAGAAACACCTAACCAACGTTCAGGAAAAGCTGCTAGAGTTTGGCAAAGACAACGACTTCATCTATCACCAAGGCATTCCGAATGAAGCGGCCTTGACACCAGTGCCCAAGATGCCTGCGGCCAAGGCGATACCCGTCAGCGAGTTATACCAGGGTCAGGACATTCAGAGAATCATCGGGCCAGATATCTTTCAAAAGATTGTACCTCTAGCCGTCACTGAATCGGCTAGTCTGTACGACGAAGAGAAGGCCAAGCTTATACGGGCTGAGAGCGAGCGTGTCGAGGTCGCCAACGACGAGATGGCCGCTAGTCTCGACTATCTCAAGCTACCTGACAGTCTCAATGTGCTGCGAGGAGGCATGGACCAAGATATGATGGTGGATAACGACTTTCGAAAGTGGTGCGAAGAGCTCGCTGGGCATCAATCATTTGGCCCTGCGTTCGAACAACTGGAAAGGGACAAGACCGAGATAATGAACTCTCTCGATGCCAGTATGAAGCAATTAGACATGGAAGAGAGTGTCTGCGAGAAGATGAGGTCCAAGTACGGATCCGAGTGGACACAGCAACCTAGCTCGCGGTTAACCTCGACATTACGAAACGATATCAGAAACTATCGAGGGGCAGTTCAAGAGGCGAGCACCAGCGACGCACAGCTATACAACACGTTTAGGCAATGTGAGGCCGACTTTGACGAGATGCGTTCAGCTGGTGAGACAGATGAAGCCGATGTGTTATATTCCCGGGCTATGGTCAAGGCAGGCGCAAGCAAGGGCAAAAGCCCTAGGCCAATGGAAGGCAACCTTATCGATGATGACATTGACGAGGGTCCGTCAGTCACCGATCAAATAGCAGCCGTCGAGGATATCCTACGGAAGCTGAATCTTGTAAAGAAGGAGAGGACGCAGATACTGAAGGATCTCAAAGACAAGGTACATGGCCGTCGACTTCCCCTCATAACGTATACTGACTGAAACAGGTTCACTCTGACGACATCTCTAACGTACTCATCCTCAACAAGAAAGCCATTGCGAATCAGGAGTCGCAATTGTTCAAAGCTGAGCTGGAGAAGTTCAGACCACATCAAAATCGTATACTGCAAGCCAATCATAAACAAGCTTCGTTCCTGAAAGAGCTGACCCGGACTTACTCCGATCTGCTGAAAGACAAGCGTGTGCGATCTGAGCAGAGCAAATACGAAGCCTTCTCGCGGCAGCGAAACACAGTTATGACGAAGTATCGCAGAGTGTATCAAAGTTTCAATGACCTCGTCGCTGGCTTGATGCGCGCCCAAAGCTTCTACACGGAGATGAAAGACACCGTGCTAAGTCTGCAGAAGAATGTTGAGACGTTCGTTAACAACAGGCGGAGTGAAGGCGGACAGCTACTGTCGAAGATTGAAGAGCGAAACAAGACACAGGGTGCAGACCAGGAACAACAACGGATGAAAGACCTTATGGAGAGAATGTCCTTGGAGCCTTCGGGTTCGCCGGTATCACAAGGTGGAGGTCGCAAGAAGAGCATACCACCACCACTATCTTCTACACCGGGCTACCCGTCAAGTTCGGGGGCTGGCCATCCTGCTTATAACCCCGCGGCTTCACCACCAGTCACACCGCGCTACCCGATGACCACAGGCCCAGGGCAACAATACATGTCGCCACAGCAGTCCTATGGTCAACCCTCGAACGGCTACAACCAGCAACCACCTCCGCGTCGAGAGAGCTACCAACAACAATACCCTACACATCAGTCCCAGAACTCTCAGGGCTCCTCGGCTTACAATCCCGCGGTTCACAACCAATACAACCCGGTCTCCCCACCGGCACATCAACAATTCTTCTCCCCGCCACCTGCACAGCATCAGCAGCATCAGCCATGGGGTCAACCCCCTCCAAACCAGCAACAACAATGGGGTGGTACACCTCAGAACAATCTACCACAGGGTTATGTTCCACCGCCACCTCCCCCGGGACCGCCACCGAGTCACAATCAGCAAGATTACAGTCACTTTAGCCAAGGAGGGTATCCGAATGGACCTGGCGGATATGCGAACCAGCAGAGGCCAGCGCAAGGACAGAATGGCAATGACCCATGGGCAGGGTTAAGTGGCTGGAAATAAGGAACATGTAAAGCGAGAGAGAACCTTGTCTTGGCGCAGGTCATTTTCGATTGTTTGACAGTCTCGCTGCGCAGAGTTGGAGTTAGTTTACAGGTTCAGTTCATTCGGCAAGGTCTTCTGAATAGCGGACAGTGGATAACAATTGTGTATTGCCAAGGCAGGTGTAGATAGTTGGAAACATCAGACATGCGCAATCAGCTTTTCGCATAATTCCACACTGAGACGAAGTCTCGCAATCAATGCTCTGGGTATACTTAGCTCTTTTGCGTGTGCTACTATGCCTTCACTGCGTGTTGCAGCTTGACAAGCTATTCGCCCACAAAGTCATACACCATTCTCACCCTCAGTTCCTCGCCTTTGTTGTTGCTGATCTTCACGCGTCTCGTATGTCTCCTCTCTCCATCAACAACCTCGAAACCCCAAAGATGACTAGCCTCCCACTCGCCCTCTTTTTTTCCTTCTGCGTGGATCAATTTCCCGTCGCTATCTCCTTCGATCCAGTCACCCTCGCCCTCATCAACTACGCCCGTCTGCCTCCCCTCTTCAACACTGACCCATTGACTCCTTCCGGCTACCTCACCAAAGAAACCGTCCTTATTGGTACGCCACTCGTAGTCCAACGTGTACTCTTCGGTCGTACCGGGGATTTTTCCGCTTGTGATTGACTGCGCCATCTTGATGTGTTGGTTGTCGGGCTGGCTTATGTTCAGATGGATGGATGCTGCGGTGGCTGTCTTGCGGACTAGGACGTTGACGCCTTGCAGTGCGAGGACTGAGGCAAAGTCATCGGAGCAGGCTTTGTTTAGTTGCCATTTGCCGGAAAGGGACTGTAGAGATTTTTTTGGGGGCGCAGCCATGGTGTGTGATATTCAAGATGGATGATGGGTTCTGAGATGTTCCTCATCGCAGTGAGATGGTCGACTTCGGAAGATGATGCGACGCGCCATTATGGTGTGGGATGGTGTCGTCACCACCTGCATTGCCTAAATTCAGTCTCTTCTAAAACTACTCACCTTGTTTGTTGCGTGTCGACATGGCTGCTGTGCAGGTTCGTTTCTACGAAAGACCGCTACAATTGAGAGGTATGGATCCCAGTATGTTGGTATATTGGTGGCGTGTCGAGTTGCACTTCCTTCCCCCATGCGGAGAAAACCGCCTCCGCTTCTAGTAAAGCTTCTTTCCGCGGCTCTGGTCATCCCTCACGCACGACAATATCACCACCAACACAATAAAGCGCGCGCCATCGGGTCTGAGACATTTCACCAGCGAACAAATATGACGAAGACGGGCTATTCCAGGATTACCCTGCGTTGCTCCCAACCTTGATGGGCCGGTGTCACAGCAAAAGTGCCCTTGACATCATCTCGGACAATGCGGCATCAGCAAACTCTTCGTAAATGGTCATGCCCGTTACATCGCCCCTTGTTAGAGGGCATACGTACGAGGGAGGGATAAAGGTTGCGAGGTATAGTCGCACTAAAAGTGGCTTTGAGCGGCGATCGTTACCAGGCTAAATGCTGTTGGACGCACAGCGCTGCGGCTGAACACTGACGAGCGAGTTGGCCCTACCACCTACCCACATTGACATCACACCAACAGGCATCATGCAGCGAGGCGCAGGAATACTTATACAGCTTCCAACGCGTCAATTATCGTGGGGCCATCCACCGGCAACTGCATCTTAATCCTGCACATTCAATCTACATATATATCCTTCCAACAGTCGTTGTCTAGTTATCGACTTCTTCAGTAAACATGTTGTTCACTTCAACCACAATCCTCGCTACGGCGTTCTGCTCGCTGGCGTCCGCGCTACCTACGTCGAATACAGTTGCTCGGGCGGGCGGCCCTGCAATTGTACCTATCCCCGCAACCTGTACCGTCACCGACCCTCTGCCCACTGGGTCAAATGCATCTTACATACCGTCGCCGGCTGCCCACGACGACATCCTCTACAGCTCCTACTACCCTTCCTACTCGTCGAATACAACCGCCATGGCACAGCAGTGCCTTCAACAATGTTACGGCTACGGATACCACACAGAGTGCAAGACATCATACTGGGCAGAGAACGTGGTAGTACCGGCAGGGTACTATGGCACAGCTGGCGGACAACTAGAGACGGCCTGTTTGATGTTCAGCAGAGCCTTGACCAGCGACGACTTCGTCGCTGCGCCAGAAGGCCAAGGTACCGGCGCGACGGCCGGTAACATTGCTTGCTGAAAGCATCACCTATGACGACGGAAGTTTGTTTCCACCAAGGCCTGTCGATTAATGAGAAACGATCTGAAACATGACATTTGGGGATTGGCGTTACGTCACAGGATAAACATGAGGACATCGATGCGGAGACGGTTTCACATTTCTACTAGGGAGGGCAACTAATTAATGATCTTAGACTACTACGTAATAATCCTCACACTGTTCACTCACATCAATATACCCCCCAAGGCTGTGATGTCACTCCGTGGTTCCTAACGTTCACCGACTACTAGAGATTAAGTACTACAGAGGAAAGATTCAGTATGGTTCGTTGACAACTTGACCTATGTGGTTAGTCTCTGGATACGATTACCCACTGGTCGCTTCCTCTTTCGGCGAAACCATGAAGTAGCTCATCGATGTGGTCGCTTTGGGAAAGAACGCTTCCGAGCTAACATCTGTTGACAGCATCCGCGTATGGGCCAAAGCTGGTACACCAATACTAGCAGACCCTCAACACCGGAAGCTGTTGTGGACATCAAATTTGCCGATGTCGTCATTCCCACCCTCAAATTAGTGAGGTGGTATCGTGCGGCAAAACAGCTATTTTTGGGTGATAAGAGTGCAGCGCGATTTCCCGTCGTGCAGGAAATCGAGTGCGGCAATAATCAAGCTTTGTCAGGTCGTAAGGCTGCGGGATTGTTCAGTGCAAACTAAGGACTCGATAGATACGAGCTGCTAGTCCACGGTTGCCTCGTCTATTCTTACCTTTTCGCTATTACCGTGCTGCCTGGACATGGCAACATGCAAGGCGCAATTGTGGGTGGGGCAAGAGCTATGTGGGAGGGCGAGCGGCGGCGACTTTGGGTTTGGCGTGATGCGCCTTCATCTGTCGCGTGTGAGGGCTTGCATTTACGAGGTCACGCTCGCGTCGCGCTTTGGGTGCATCGCTTGACATTTGCTCTGTGTCATACGCTGGAAGCGCATATCGTTGCAGTCGCGAGCTGGACTTGGCATGGTAAAGTACAGCGACGTCCCAGGATTATGGTAGTCGGTGGTCAAGGTTTATGGGGCGATATCCTTGCCGGCAACATTTACTTGGTGGGTGACAGTCAAGAAACGCCCTTGGGTTCTCTACAATGATAGACTGATGGTGCAAAGACTTACTGCAACGTCTTATCGCTGTGGAAATCAAACTATGAAAAGATGGTGGTCTCGGGGGCGACTGCGATATACGTGCGTAGGCGTTCACCGAGGTCGAACACCCGGGTACCCTTTCCGTAACGCCTGATCTGCCCCCAAAACACTATAAACGAGAGACCTTTTCTCCAACCTCAAACTTCACGATGCACATCTGATGGCCATATCAGGAAGTTCTTAACCCGCAAATAGGACAAAACTTTCAACGCCGTCAAACACGTAGCATGCCCAAATCTAGCAGACGGCCACTTCACTGCGGCCACGAAGTGAGACGACTGGGTACCTTCGGGTCCCAGCTTTCCATCCTTCGGGCTATCTGCCACAGCTGACTTTCCCACGGTCAACCCCCGGGTGCCACAGTGAGATTTTGGGGCTGGTGAGAGATGAGCATACTCCGATCGGAGTTTCTGCGACGTTCATTGGCGGCATTGCGGAGATGTATATGTAATTTGGCTGACGCTGACGGGCCGGCTTCCTATATCGGTATTTCAGTGCTTCAATTCGGAATTATGGGGAGCGATTTGGGGCTGTTGTCAATCACAGGAAGCAAGTATCCGGACGATCGTATTCACGTACGCTCGCCTATGGCCAGGAATGGGAATCACGCAGGTCCTCAAGGGGCTCAAAGCGCGTAGGCGAAGTCCATCTTACAGTATGGTGGGTACAATTCCGTATTAGGTACTATCTACGATAGATTGGCCGTAGCTTCGTGGGTCTTGACCATGTAGTGAAGGCTGGTATCAACCAGTGGTGATCTTCACACCCCGAGTTGGGAAATAGCTCAGAAATTCTTGGTGAGCAGGGTTTTGCAGACGAAAAAGTAAATGTAGCTGAGAGACACCTGTAGGCTAGTGCCCAATGAACGCTGGCTTGAACGCAAAAGCAAAATGGGTATAGACAAGAAGCGAAGTTGAAAAGAAGAAAACGCAGTGCCCGAGCATCTTTAGCCAACGAAATGCTAGGATATCTCTGTCTTCACGGGTACCGTACCCTTGAATTCCCCATGTAGTATATCCAGGAGCTTGCGGAGGGTATCCGAATTGCTCCCTCGCCTGCGCGTGACTGTACCCTCATCATCCTCACCCTCCGCGTCGTCGTCCTGTGTAAGAAGCTCGATGGTCTTTCGAAGCTTTTCGTAAGCCGCGTTAAGCTCCGTATGCGATACTTCGAGCTTAGTGTATCTCTCGTTCAAGACCGCAAGCTGCGCTTCAAGATCTCGGGCGTGCTTCTCTTTCCGCTCTCGAAACGCACGTTGAGCGGCACGATTTTGAGCCCTTCGTCGCTGTACAAATGTTAGCCTTAAGTTTTGTTTGTGCGATATAGGATACATACCCCTGAGGTAGTGTGTGTTCGTTCGGTTGGCGCGGGCGTAGGCATAGTCCCGAACGTAGATTCAGCGTGCTGCAGTGGTCGAGGACTGCAGTATGGACTGTCGTGATCGGATCCGAAATCGGAGGGTGTCATTGGCATGGGGTATGATCCAAACTGCATAGGCTCATCGACGATGTGAGGGTAGTAAGCTTGGTGAATAGGCGCAGGAAATTGGTCGTATGTAGATGAGACCTTGAGCAAGTCAGTTTTGTAGACTAGGGGAGTTCAACATAAGACTCACAGGCGACCCGCTTAGACTCGGAACCTTGGAAAGATCTGGAGGCATTTCAAATACGGCTGGCTGGTGTGTTGGGGCGATGTAGTTTCCCTGTGCCATCCAGTACTCGAATGAGTGAGAATCCATTGTGTGTGATTTGCGATTGCAGATAAGTGATGACGAGAAAGTTGGTAAGTCTTTGCGCAAGGTAGAATGGTGTATAGGAATGAGCGATTGTTCTTCTTGTGATTAAGACTTGTGTTGGAAGCCGCTGCTGAGATAATGTGCAAGTGTCGTGTCAGTTCAAGTTGAGATACGTGTGTGGTGGAGATGGCTTACACAACGGTGGGCAAGCTGAGATCTTATACACTGTGCGGACGTCGCGCATGTCTCCTTCGGAACCGCGTCGAGTCACATGAGATGGCGGCCAGTGGCTTGAGCAGGGGTATCTGACCATGCAATTATGCCCGCGAACAACCCCAACGGCCATGGTGGACCCTGAAGATGTGGCTTTCAGCGGAATACGTGCAGAAGATAGCTTGAATCGCATGCTCATACAGCTGCTACCGGCACACGCGTCCGAAGCACGACCCACCAGTGCAGCAAGCACACCAGTTGTTGTTATTCTCGTCTTCGAGTGGTTCCCAGAGTTACACCAGCCATGGCCGCGAGACAGGGGTCTGCATGGAGGCGTGCGCTTTACTCTTTCAAGTCTTTGATAAAAAGATTAGTACGCATGCTGAACTAGCTGCAACAATTTGCAGCCAACCAAAGCCACGGTATCAAAGTAGTTCGCTGTCGCATTTGGTGACAGTCAGAGAGGTGCCTGGTCTTGTCTTCAAATAAAACCACCCCACTTGAGGGTTATCGTCCCGCACAAGATGCATGGTAGGGCTGGATCTCCAGAAGCTCGGCAGTCCTTGACTGTGATGAGGTATCTTGAATGATCAATCGAACAACATCCGTAGTGAGGGGCTCACATACCTCAACGTAGACGCTCTGTATTGCGCTGAGTATAAGGAGCTTGTCTACATGACGACGTCAGAGCGATGCACTGACCCAAAACTACGTTCAGCTGGGCTGTTGAGCCTTCGCTTCCACTGCGAGCCTTGGGCCGAAGTTCGGTCGTAGTGAAGTGTCGTTCGCGCTAACTGGGAACGATGTAAAGTGCATGCAATTCTGTCACCGCTCTTCCTCGCTCGCTGCGAGAATACCGACACAGGGGCTATATTGGCTACCACCGCTATAACCCGGTACCATGTGTATTGCGCCCTTCTGGCGAGAACAACCATGCCAAGCCTTAGCGCATTCGGATGCGCTACGACATTCAGGTGCGACCATGGAAAAGAAATGGCTATCGTATGCTTCGCTAGCTTGATACACAAGAGCAGAGCGTGAAATGGGCTCCTTCACATGTCTTGTCGTGCATTCGAAGGAAAGCAGGTATTCGCAGGGTCGGCAGGCGATCGGTGAGCGTCGGGTACAGCTGCCTGGGGGTGGCCGAAAAAGAACCCTATGGTGGCAGCACGTGGAACGCTAACTGAGCTGAAAGTCTACCTACGTAAGCGCGCTTGCCATGACTTATCAGTAGCCTTGTCCATGGACATTCCCAAGCGACCACCATCTTACATCAGGGAAATGCTCGGCGACGTAAAGTGATATATACTCACCGTATGCATCTGAGCAGGCTACAGGATGCAGAATACCTATGTCTGCTGCTCGAAACGTTATCGATGCCTTGCGCCAGGCTGTAGAGAGTCTCACCTGGCCGGTATGGTGTGATTCTTACATTGCACGACCCACGTGGAAAGAGACAGCCCTACGGCGTCCTGCTGTGACTACGCTGGACTACTTACCGAAACCAGTAATTCTGCACTTCCAGCGTGGCGGCACACTAGTGACGTTCGCAAGAGGGACGCACCGGCTCGGGCTGCCGGTCTGGAGCTGCTTTCGCGAAACGAGCCTGTAGGCTGAAGAACCACCGCCCGCCGTCTTATGCATCCACCGAGTCCGCATGGGGCTATTTGGTCTAACCTCGTAGTAGGATTGCCAGCCGATACATCCTCAAGCGAGTCCTGTATCTTATCTGATGGTCCTTCTCCCGCCACATTCGCTGCCGTCAAGCATACTCGTTAAAGCCTGCGCCGATTTGGTCTCGGCGCTGCAAGTCATTAGTGTGCCATCCCTAACCGGCAACACAACCTCTCTGCCCCGCTGCTGACACACCTCGTTC